CAATGTCACCTCTCTAAGCCTGCTTCTGGAATGTTTTTGGTATGAAGCGTCATGGCAGGTAAAGGGAAAGGCTGTGCAGTGAGGGACTCACAGCCTGAGTCTAGGTCTCTCTAGGCCTGGGATAATGTTCTCCTTCCCCAGTAGGCTTCCCCCACATCACCCCCGCTGCCCGTGGGCCCCTACCAGCCCCTGGTTTAGAAGAGGTTAAGCAAATACATCACTAGGAGGACAGCTATCTCAGGATCTTTTGAGTTCCATCTCCTTCCCTGAAATGCCAGCTCCTCCCCCTGAGGAGATAGTGCTGATAGGACCAGGCAGCAGGGGCTGTGGCTCCCTTCCCTCTCTTCATTGCCTTTCTGTGGCTTCCCTTCTCCCTTCCTGGCTAGTTCCTGCCACCTCCTTCTCCCCTCTCTTCCTTTAGCTTCTCCTTGCTCCCACTCTCCCTCTTCTTTCCCAGCTCCCTCTGGGGCTCGTAGAGATAAGGGGAAGCCTTTTTTTTTTTTTTTTTTTTTTTCAGGAGGAACTGCTGTATTCCTTGTGCTTGGAAAGGAGCCTAGCATGTAATAGATGCTCAATAAATATTTGTAGTTCCATTTACTTATATTCTCTCTCAAGTATCCAGCCCAATCTAGTTAAAATGAGCCCCCACCCCACCCACTAAGATTTGGCACCCCACAGGCCTGATTAGAGGTCTGGTTTTTCCACTCGCTAGCTAGGCAAGTTGTTCGATGTTTTTGAATCTCAATTTCTTCTTCTGTAACATGAGAATGATCAAAATTACATTAAATAAAATAAGAAAATATGGTGCTTGATACGTTAGCACTTAATAAATTGTAGCCCCTATTATTATCTCTAAGTTATGATTCTTTTTCATTACTCAAACTCCCCTTCCATGCTATCTGAACTGACAATTTCTCTGTTGAATTTTTAAAATAATTTTTATTTGTCAAGTACAGTTGACATAAATATTGTATTAGTCTCAGATGTACAGCCCAGTGATTAGACATTATATAACTTACTAAGTGATCATGTGATAACTTTTGTGCCCATCTGACACCATACGTGGTTATTAGAATATTACTGACTATAGTTTCTATGCTGTAACTTTACATCCCCACAACTATTCTGTAATTACTGATTTGTACTTCTTAATCCCTTATATTTTCACCCATCATCCCACTCCCTTCTCATCTAGAAACCTTCAAAATATTCTCTGTATTTATGAGTCTGTTTCTGTTCTGCTTGTCTGTTGTTGTTTTTAGATGCAGTTATTGATAAATATGAATTTATTGCCATTTTAGTGTTCATATTTTGATCTTCTTTTTCAAGAAGACCCTTTAACATTTCTTGTAATAATAGTTTGGTGGTAATGAACTCCCTTAGTTTTTTCTTGTTTGGAAAGCTTTTTGTCTGTTCTATGGTTCCAAATGATAGCTTGCTGGGTAAAGTAATGTTAGTTGTAGGTCCCTGCTTTTCAGGACTTTGAATATTTCTTGCCAATCCCTTTGGTCTGCAAAGTTCTTGTTGAGAAGTCAGCTGACTCTCTTATGGCAGCTCCCTTGTATGTAACTAACTTCTTTTCTCTAGCTGCTTTTAATAATCTTTTTTTATCTTTAACCTTTGGCATTTTAATTATGTTGTGTCTTGGTGTGGGCCTCTTCTGTGTTCATCTTGTTTGCATTCTCTGTACTTCCTGATCTTGTATGTCTATTTCCTTCACCAGGTTAGGAAAGCTTTCTGTCATTATTTTATCAAAGCAGTTTTCAATTTCTTGCTCACTCTCTTCTCCTTCCAGCACCCCCATTATGCAAATGTTGGTACTCCTGAAGTGGTCCCAGAGGCTCCTTACACTCATTCTCATGTCAGGGAGGTTCTTTTTTGCTGTTTTGATTGGATGTTTTTTGCTATTTTATATTCCAAATCACTGATTTGATTCTCAACTTCATCTACTCTAGTATTGATTCCCTATAAATTATTAGTCTTCATTTCAGTTAGTGTACTCTTTGTTTTTTATTGTTTCTTTTCTTTTTAAAGATTTTATTTAGTTTTAGAGAGAGGGGAAGGGAAGGAGAAAGTGAGGGAGAGAAACATCTATCAGTTGCCTCTTGCATGCCCCCAACTGGGGACCTGGCTGGTGACCCAGGCATGTGCCCTGATCAGGAATCAAACCAGCAACCTTTTGATTTACAGGCTAGCACTCAATCCACTGAACTATACCAGCCAGGGCTGACTGATTCTTTTTGTATGATTTCCATGTCCTTTATTATGCTGTTGAAGTTCTCAACTTCATTGAGCATCCATATAACCAGTGTTTTGTAGTCTGCATCTAGTAGATTTCTTCTCTCCATTTTGTTCATCTCTTTTTCTGGAGTTTTGTTCTGTTCTTTCATTTGGGCCATATTTCTTTGTCTCCTCATTTTGGCAGCCTCCCTGTGCTTGTTTCTATGTATTAGGTAGAGCTGCTACGACTCCTAGTCTTTATAAAGTGACCTAAAGTAGTAGATGTTCTGCAGGATCCAGTGGCACAGCCTCCCTGATCACACAAACTGGGCACTTAAGGTGCACCCCTTGCGTGGGCCAAGTACATCCTCCTTTTGTACTTGAGACTTGATTGCTGTTGGCACATCAATGGAAGTAATTTATCCCCAGGCAAATCAACCCTAAGTCTGGCTACCACCACCAACAACTACCCTCCCACTATCATGGAGGATCAGCTATGTTGGGGCTCACCCTACAGAGCAGGACTTATTTCAGTGGGGCTCTGGTATCTGCTAAATCCATTCCTTGAGTGTGTTGCTTGTAGAGTTGGTTGGGTGGTGGTGCTTCAGTGTGGCCTGAAACTGCCCACTGTGTGCACTGGCTCTGGGGCTTCTCAGGAGGTGCAGGCCATAGTCAGCTGCCACCTGTGTTCTGTCCCGGGCTGCACAGCATGAGCTATAAAGTGATCTTCAGATGGCTGCTACTTGTGTTGGGCTTGGAGGTACCCAGGTGCGGCAAACTGCAAACCACAGCTGGTTGCTGCTAGTGCTGCTCCTGGGACCACTTAGTGAGAGGTATAGGGCTCACTGAGGCCAGATGCTGCTTACTTGAGAGATCTTAGAAAAATCTGAAGTATTAGCCATTTGTATAAAAAAGCCATTGAAAACAGTTTGGGTGGGCCTGAAAGTTGGGTGGAGCAGGGTCTCAAGGAATCACCAAGGTGAAGTGACTAGTGTGAGCCAGGTTGATGAGGACTTAGCTATGGTACCCACCTGCCAGGTCTGTTGGGGGGGAGTTCTGAAGAAAGGAACAATGGGCTATGCCAGAACATTTATCTGGCAGAAAGCTGCCATACCCAGCTCTTGTCCTGATGCCAGACAATTTAGTTCCTCCCTGCATGTCACTGGTGGTGCCTTTTGAGCTGCTGGGCCAGCACTGGAGCTCAGAGGGAGGGAGTCCGAGTAAATCTGTGCTCAGAACCTTTAAGAGGAAATGTCTGGGACTCCAGAAGCCCTCTGCCTCACTCAGCCACAATCTCCACTGGTTTTTACAGCTAGCAGTTACGGGGACTTCTCTTCCTGGCACTGGGACCCTGGGCTGGGGGGCCTGGTGTGGGGCTGGGACCCCTCACTCCTCAGCCAGGAATCTCTGAAGCTGAGATATCCCTAAAAATCTATTCCTAGATTTTTATCTGCTACATGGGGATGTGGGACCAACCCATCTACTTCTCTGCTCCTCCTACCAGTCTCAATGTGGCTTCTTCTTTAAATTCTTAGTTTAAGACTGCCACATTCTAATAGATTTCAGGTGGTTCTGCAGTTTGGCGGGTGGTGCATGTAAGTACCACACTTACCTGCACCACCATCTTGATTGAAAGCCTGAATTTTATTTATTTTTATGCATGCTACCTTACTGTCCAGTCTGCAGCCTCCTGGAGGCTCAGATCTCAATGTGTCGTGCCAGAGAAACAGCAGTTACCTTTGTCTCCCACAGAACTCAGCATAAAAAGGGCTGGATTCCTGAGCTGAATGAATAAAGGCTCACAGCCAACTCCACAGTTGACTCTATGCTTCTTGAGTGTAAAAACCCTCCCTTACGTTTTCCTGGTGTCCAGCCAGAGTCTGGCCCAGAGTTCAAGCCCTGAGTAGAACCTCAAGGATATCAGACAGAAATACTCCAGTTGCAGCCAGTTGTTTGCTGCAGCATCATGAGCCGTAGTTGCCTGGACACTTAACTGACTCCCCAGCCTTACCAACTTCACCAGCTCCCCAGATGCAGGGAGCAGGAGGGAAGGTCCAGATGCTCCACTCCAGAAAAAGAACAAGTGTGCTGGGGAGCAGGGAGCTGGAGCTGGCTGGACCTGGAGTTGCGTTGGAGCCTGTGAACACCAGGAGCGGGTAAGGCATGGGGAGGGAGACTGCTTGAAGCTGGAGCCAGCAGCAACTTGCCTGCACTTTGTCCTCATTCTTTCATCCCAGCTCTCAGAGCCCGAGTTTCTCAAAGGACCAGGCCAGCGGGCTGGAAATGCTCTGCTGGGGGTTGAGAGAGACAGCCTTCAAGGGGGGGCATTCCAAGCATTCTTTACTGCACTAGGGGTCAGATGGTGAGGGCAGAGCGGGCGCAGCTGCGCAACACCGAGTAAAAGGGATTTCTTTGGAGAGAGAGAATAGAGGAGGTGGGGGTGTCTTCAAGCAGCAGGGGACAGAACTGTATGGGGGAGGGGTGGAAGAAGATGGAGAGAAGGTTGGGGGTGGGTCTGCACAATCTGCCAAGCCCAGCTTTCCCGCTTAGTTCCAAAGGCAGGAAGAGCAAGTGGGGACATTCAGCCCAGGGCTCTCCCACCTGCGTGTTTATAGGGCAGACTTGCTAATGAGGTACATTGGGGGAGCTTCTGGAAGCCAGAGCTGGGTACTTGTTGTTTTGTTTTTATTAAGCAGGTTCTCCATTTCCCAACAGGATGTGTGTTAAGACAAGGTTCAAAGATCTGCGCCCAACCTCCTCAGACGTAACGACAGAGGCCATTGTCAATCACCAGACTGGTTTTTAATGGAGTGGGTTTTTTCTGGCCACAGAGAAGGGAAGAGGGACCATCAGGTAGGCAGAACCAGGGCAGGGATGAGGGGGCCACGTATCCCTGGACAGGGTTAAGGAACATGCGGATTTGTAAAAGGGCCCCCCTTCCCCATGAATCATTGCAAAAATATTACTTTGTACACAAAATTAGATGTATAGTGAACTTTCCAGAACATAATATTCACATTATTGAAAACAGTAAGATTCATTTTTGAAAGAACACATGGCTAAAAAATATAAATAGGGCATTCTAGGTCCTGGAAACCCAGAGAAATAGACACATTCATTCTCAGTAGCAAGAGCAGCTTGGAGGCTGGAGAAGTTCACAGAGCCTTTGAGGTTCAAGGGGGGGGTCCAGAGTCATCTGGGCCCACTGAGATGATGAAGTCCAGTAGCAGCCTGAGCCTTTTCAAGTCTTTCAGATTTATAGCAGCGACTCCAGGAGGCTTGGGCGAGGTTTGGGGGACAGGAGAGCAGGGGTGGGGGACCTTTGAGGAAACAGGCTGGGTTCTCTTACTGCTGGGAGAAGTAAGGAAGGGCGCACTCTAGGAGACTGTTCCTAGGCTGTCCCAGGCACATGAGGAGTTTCCATATCCCAGTTTCAGTTCCTGGTGGGGATGGGAATGTGTATTTGAAGAGTTCCTACCCTTATCTTGGCAAGAAGGCACCATGCACAAAACTCACTCATTGCAATAAAGGAGATGGGTACTGGTAAGAGTGCTCTTTCCGGATTTTGGTGGTCCCACTATGTGCACACAAAACAGAGATACTGAACTTGGCCACGGACCTTCTCTATTCCTCTACTCTTCCCCTCTTCTACCTTCTTGGTTCAACAGGGCTGAAGATGTTGAATCCTCAATGCATCTCACTTGCCCATTTTTCCTATATCCGGCCCTCCCCAGGGCTAAATCACAAACCATCTCAGACTTCTGGGCTGGGATGCTGGTCCTAGGAGGCAGGGGAAAAGGTGGCTCCCCTCAGGGTGTTGCCAGGTGCATCTTAGAGCCCATCCAGGTGGGGCAACGGCTCCACCCTCAGCTGAGCTTTGAGCAGACTCCCAGCGCCTGCCGATAGGCCTCTGTCACCTCCTGGCAGTCCGTCAGGGAAAAGCAGCTTTCCCCCAGGGAGTCTTGCCTCCAGCGCCTCAGGCCCCTGCTCCCAGGGCCCTCGGAGGGGGGCTTCTCAAGCCCAGTGAGGTTGTCCACAGACACACAGCCTCGCAGCAGGGGCTCGGGGAGCCATTCAGGCAGGTCTAGCTGGTCAAAGGACTCAGAGGACAGGATACTGTCCTCACTCACAGCCCCTGAGGGGCGGCTGGCCTGGGCCGGAGGGCAAGGTGAGGCCAGCTCGTTCAAGGAGCCGAAGGCAGTAGGGGCTGTGCGGGAGAACTTGCCGTTGTGCTTGAGGATGCCCTTGCGGTGGAGGAGCAGCCCTGAGGCCTGGGGGGGCTTCTGCTCAACAGCGTCCCCGCTCACAAACACATCCCCTGAATCCAAGAGCTCCCCCGACTCGCTGGGTTCAGGAGACGAGTAGTAGCCAGATTCCCGCTGCCGAGAGTTCTTGAGGATGCCCTTCTTGGGGAGCGGCGGGGCAGCCTGCCCTGGGCTCCCAGAGTCCGGGCTGAGCTCAGAGTCCTCTTTCGCCCACTCAGAGGAGGCAGACGCCTTCTTCTTCAGAATGCCCTTTGGCAGCTCGAGGCTGCCCTCGCTGGGATGAGGGGAGGTATCCTCGGCAGGGTCCTCCTGCAGGGACTGGGCCATGTCATTCTCTCTGCGGGACTTCTTGAGCGAATGCTGGCGCTCGAGGCTGGGGGCCATGCTCCCACCTCCAGGCACGTGCTGCTTGAAGAAGCTGCATACCTTGGCCCCATTCTCCAGGAGGGGGCGGGAGGACCGCCGGAGCCAGTCGGCCACGGAGGCCCGGCCAGAGTCATTGCCAGGGTGTCCTCCCTCAGACAGAGCCTCCTGCTGCCCTACACGGGTGGCATATCCCCAGTTGACCCACCAGTGACTGGCCACGTCCTCCAGGGTAGCCCGGCGGGTGGGGTTCACCATTAACAGCCACCGGATCAGGCCACAGGCATCTGAAAGACAAAGATAAGGGTCTTCGGATTGGCAGCCATGCGAGTGGGCCCCGGCAGTCCCCTCTCACTGGCTACCCCCATCTGCACTAGGACGCCACTCCCACCCAGGGCTCCGCACACACCCCAGCCAGGCCAGCTCCCAGCCTCCAGATGTCCCAGATGGGTTCTGCCAATTTCCTCTTCTGTACCATGCCCCCAGGATTCTGAGCCCTCCACTAGCCTAACTGTATGTACATGTGTATCCTTGTTCTCAGAAATGCAACCCTCTGAGGGTGTGGACTGTACTCAAAGGTAAACCAAGGTTCTTACACCTACATCGCCTACATTGTAGGGGAAAGGACAAAAAAATTTCTAAGGATGAGGGAAAAGCAGTAGAAAGTGAGACAACTGTAGCACAGAGGACCTAAGTTAGACCTTAGGAAGCACTTCCCAAATGTAATAAAGCATGCCCATAAGTGAAGGAAGAGATGACCCCTCCTTTTCGGAGGTCGTAGACACTGGGGGCAGAGATGTCAGCAGAAGGTGGGTGGAGGGTACTCATCTGCAGTGGGTCCTCCTCTTCACTCTACTGCCACCGTTTAACCCCTGCCTCAGGAAGTAGCTCAGGACCCCCGGGGCCTGGACGGGAATACCCGGACCTCTCACTCACCCGAGGGTTTAGGCGGCTCCCGGTAGGCCCCGCTGCTGATCTGCCTCACCAGCGTCTTGTGGTCCTGCCCATCAAAGGGCATGGCACCGTGCACCAGGACGTACAGGAGAACACCCAGGGACCAGCTGTCCACCTGAGGGAGGGTGGGGGTCAGCAAGGGTGCTGGAGGGGCTCCGGCCTCGCTTCTGCACCGGAGGGGAAACGGGTGCCTACTGGAGAACTCAGAGGCCAGTGTGTCTGGGGGGCACGTCCCTCTGGAATCCAGGGGCAAAGGAATGATGCTGCGGAAATGACCAAGGCTCATGGGGAGAGGTGCTGTCAATCGCCTCTCCTTGGCAGCGGCAGCCACAAACACAAGAGCAATGGAGAGGTCATCCCTTCGGGGATAAGAGGGGGTGGCAGGCTAGGTGCAGGGAAGGGCCATGGGAACCAGGAAGGTGAGGGGCACAGGACTAGACAAGGGGCCTGGGGGGTTAGGTTTTCACTCCAGTTTTGCCACTCCTGGCTAGAGACCCAGCAAGTGACTACTTTGGGAGGTGAGGGGGTACGGGCTGAATTTTGTGCAGTGAGAGAAAACAACTAGAAAACCAGCCCACCTGTCTCACAGGAGCTGAAGCCACAGGAAACGCAGAGGCAGGCTAGTGGTGGAGGGCGGACACTCACCTCTGGACCCGTGTAGGGCTTCCCGTTGACAATCTCAGGCGAGGCATACAGGGGGCTGCCGCAGAATGTCTGCAGGAACTTGCCTTGGTGGTAGAGGTTGGAGAGGCCAAAGTCAGCAATCTGCAGGAGCAGGTAAACACGGCAGGGGTCACGGCCAAGGCCTGGGTTGTTCTGCAGCTTTCAGCCTGCCGCCATAAGACGCTGGGGAAAGCCAGACCCCAGCAGGAGGAAAGGGTGCCTGTGACCCCCACCCATACTGGGCACTGTCAACACAGCTCAGGCCCTGGAAAAAAGAGCTCTGCAGGAACTGTGTCAATGAGCACCTAGCCAGAGGTGCGGGGGCTCCAGGCCCTCACTGTCCCCCAGGCTCCTCTGTCCTGCTGTGCTCCAACCCAGGCATGCACTCCCCTGTTGGTGCGCATCCTCCTGGTCCAGCAAGCTTACCTCCCCTGGGAAGCCCTCCATTGCCCTGAGCTCTCCTTCTCCCACAGAGCCCTGGTTTCCAGTGGTTTGCTGTAGCCCTCGCTTATTGGTTCTGTCTCCTCATATTGCCACATTACTATATTCCTATGTTGACCTCCTTCTGTCCCCATTCCTCCTGCAGCTCCTAGAATAGGTGTGGCCCATGAATGGGACTCCATGGGAAGGGGGGCCAGATGGAGGGGGACAGTCAACATCTTATGCCGGTGGCACTGCCCTCAGAAGCACGCCATCCTGTCTCTGACTAACCACGCACGGCTGGGCTCCCCTTCCTAGCAAAGGGCTTGTCTATGCCCACTCCTGGGCAGGAGCATGGGGTCAGCCCAGCAGGGCTGAGAAGCAGTGGTGAGGACAGAACAAAAATCACGGTCAGAGTTATAGCCCAGGAGAAGGCACCTTGTCCCAGACTCCCTGAGCCATCTGATACTGAGGCCTTGAGAGGCACCCAGTCCATCTTCCTGTTCCCCAGAGAGACCCCTTCCCCAGCTGCCCTCGGGGAGAGGCTGAGGCCGGCGCCCTGCCGCTCCTGATCTCTTCACCCCCAGCAGAGGGTCATGTGTGCCTAGGGTGGGGAGGGCCTCTTTATGGAACTCTGGCTCCTTCGTTTATGGTTTTATTGGCCTCTTATCAAGCAGATAGTTGAAACCCATAATGAAGCAGGTGATTGGTGCAGATGGGAGAGTTCATGCCTGTCCAGGTTGTTTGTGTTTATTGACTCTGCCTCCCCTCCCCCACACCACAGCATCAAAGAAAGCCCCACCTGCTCCGGGAATTGGCTGGAAAAGGGGAATGAACTCCGTGCTAGGGTGCCACAAAGCATGGGTCAGGGGCTACTGGAGCAGGGACTATGTCCTGGGTTCAGGAGGATTCTGAAGGGGGTCAGAGGGCAGAGTACAGGGCCAGCCTGGCCATCTCCCCTTCTGGCTCTGAGACCTGAGTGTACCTGTCATTGTGCCCTTCTCAGGCCTAAACCGAACTGCAGAGGCACGGGAGGCCAGCAGCTGCAGGAAGACAGAGCTGGAATGCTTGGTCTTTGGGGAAAGGAGCCAAAGGGCCACCTAATTGCAGCAGAGGAAAGTCTGCGTGTGTGTGCATGTGTACGTGTGAGCGCATGCACACAGGTGGGAAGAACTCAGGCCGGGGCCCTCTCCCTACCAGTGCCAAGGTTGTGAGCAAAAGAACCTAGACCTAGATTCCTAGACTCCTGTCAGTGTTGTGATGTCAAGAGCACTGGGAGGGGAGCCAGGAGACCTTGTTTCTAGCCCGTGTTCAGTCTCTCGCTAGCCACAGAACTTTGTGCAAGTCACCCCTTATTTTGAGGCCCTGGTTTTCCATCCATAAAATGGAGTGGGAACAAGCATATAGGATCTTTGCAGGACTCCTCCCAGAACCCCCTAAGGACTTAGAGGTACTTGGCTAGGGGCAGTTTGAAAGGGCTGGGGAGGAGCAGGAGAGATGCTGGAAACCAGAAGTGGGGCCCACCTTGATATTTCCATTGGCATCTAGGAGGATGTTCTCCAGCTTGAGATCCCGGTGGACAATCCCATTCTGAAAGAGGGAGGGAGGAGTGTCAGGGGGAGGTCACCGGGGAGGGAAGGGCATGAGGACCTAGTCTGCAGAGAAAGGCAAACACAAGGGGGGCCGGGTAGGGGCACAAGTACACTGGGAGTGCCCATCTTCATTGGTGGGCACAAAAAAAAATCACAGGCCCTTCCACCTGCAGCCGAGGGACTCAGAGCCCGAGACACCGGTGTTCCTAGGCTGTGGGTCCAAAATCGAGTGTTGCCTCTGCTTTGTCTCCCTGTGTGTGTTCCCTGTGCAGGCAAGTTGTGGACTCTCTTGGGCCCAAACTGGGGGCCCAAGGACCACCCCTCAGAACAGGACCGGGCAGGCGGGGCCCCCTACCTGATGGCAGTATTGCACAGCAGAGATGACCTGCCGGAAGAAGTGCCGGGCGTCCCGCTCGCTGAGCCGCTGCCGCTCGCTGATGTAGTCGTACAGGTCACCACGGCCAGCGTACTCCATGACTATCACGATCTTGCTGCTGCTCTCGAACACTGGGGCAGAACGGGGAGAGGGGTGGGCGGGTGGCTGTGGAACATCAGGCCCTCCAGAGTACGCTGTGCCCCTGTGGCTGGGCCTCTCCCCGGCCCTGGACCAGACACCTCCCTCTAGGGATGCTTGCTGATGGGGTGAGAAAAGGGCCTTTGAAGCTCTCACCATCTTCCAACAGCAGTAAGTTAAGGCCAAGGGACCTGGCTCACCCTGGAAGCTCTGGCCTTTGAGGATTCTCAAAACGACCCTGCAATTTCTCAGGAGGGCGGAGACGTCCCTGGATGGGAAGGAAAAGCCTGCCTGGTTCAGGATTTAGTGCCTTTTTGCTTCATGACCTAGGGTAGAGCTCTTCCAGCTGTCACGAAGGTCTGTCTCTTCTAGGCCTCATCACTTACTAGTTGGGTGACCTGGGCAAGTTATTCAACCAGTGTGGCTCAGTTTCCTCACTTGAAGAACGAGGAGGGATGATAATGCCAACCTCTTAGAGCTGGGGTGAGAACTGAATACAAGACAGTGGAAACTCTGGCGCTGGCTGAGCAAGCTGGCAAGGAGCTGACATAAGCAGGCACTCCATAAATTGTACCCACTGTTACATTCATCACTGGCGTCCTCATATACATAATAATATGTAATAATGCCCATAAAATGCCTGCCTGGGGGATCAGAAGAGGGATAAAGCACATGCGGGGGCTTTGCACACGGTAAAGTACAATGGCGAGCTGAGATACTCATCTCCCAACACCTTTGATTTCCCGCCCAGAGCACTGCCAGGGCCTTGTCCACAGAAGTGATAAATATTTCGTAACCGAATGACTGGCCGGGCTCCTGTCAGCCAGCCTGCCCCGCCTGGCTCATCGGCCTGTGTAGGAGGAGCCCAAGTGCCCCCTCCAGCCTTGTTCTGGCTCCAGCCCTCTGTAAAGGTAGGGAGTGACTGGGTCACCAAACTGGCCCTTTAGCTGAGTGTATGTCAGAACGCGTACATCCATCCCTGCCATTGCATCTCTGTGTCAAACAGGTCCTAGGAGTTTGGCTTGCTCAGCCAGCCCCAGAGATACTGCTGTTTGGCCTGTGAGAGGAGCTGAGAGAGGTGGCTTCTCCAGGAGGTATCCCAGCGCCCAGGCGGTTGTATACATGGCCAGGAGGGCTGAGCTTTTCCCCAGGGGCACAGGAGTGAGTGTCCCTGATGTGTGGTGACCCAGTCTCCCACCACACATCAGGGCCCCACCTAGCTGTCCCTGTGGTTCTCCGCATCGCTGCAGCCTTTGTGCCGTGAAATTAGGGGTCAAGAGCCAGCACATCCTGGACAGCAGCTAGGTGAGAGTTCATTCCCCCACCCCCAGGCCATATGTCCTGAACCTGTGGCTGTGACAGGATGGGGATAGATCTGAGGTAGCCCTGCATACACACAGTAACTGCCATAGCCCTGCATCTGCTGGAGCTGAAGGTGAAGGACAAGCCCGAGCTTCCTGAGCTTCAAAGCGCAGTTCCCAGACCTGGCTGGGGATATGGGTGTGGGACATGCACACACACATAACCACCAAGCTCAGTCTGGCTAAACCAATACCCTGCCATCTGCCCACTCTTCCCTGGGGAAATACGCAGAGATACAAGTAGCTTTCTCAGCTACTTGCCCAGTCCTTGCGGGACAGGTTCAGGCCACAGGGCCATGTCAGTGGCTCTGCCCTTAGTCTTCCTATGAATAGAACCCAAGAGAGAAGAATTCTCTTATATTATACTTCCCACCAAAAGTATTAAAAAACAGGGCAAAGCCATAAGCTCCCTTCCTTCCCCCTGCTGCTATTTCTTATTTCTCCCTCTAACTGACACTATGTAAAGGCTGGAAGCAGATAGGTATGTGTGGGAAGGCACCCCCCCCTTTCCCTGGTCCCCTTCTCTTGCTCTCTTTGTTGTCTGGGTCACAGAGAACAGGGCAGTCAGAGTGGAAAGCCAGCACTGATGTCAGAACAAGAGAAGGCTGAGAAAGATAACAAGGAGAGGCAGAGGCCAGCCCCACGCAGGGATGATTCAGAGTACAGGGCAGACTCCAGGAGGCCTGGATCTTAGCACGCATGCACCGGAGACAGGTGCAGGTCTCTGTATGTTTCAGCTTCCCCCGTACTGCTGAGGATCTCATTGGGTTGGGGAGGTAGTGTTCAAGTTTGGAAAACCTAACAGTAAAAACAAAAAGCCTACCATTTGCTGAGTTCTTCCTGTGAGCTGAGCACTCGGTGACATTTAATTTGACCTTTGCAACTATGCTGTGACGTAAGTAGGATTATCCCGTTTTACAAATGAGGAACTGAGGCCCACCCAGGGACTACACTGAGTAGTTGCCCAAGTCATACCAGCTGAATTTCAAATCCAGCTTTTGTCCAACTCCAAAGCCTGCATTTCTTTCATTTCTTTGTATCACCTGTTCAGACTTCTATACACACACCTCCCCCTCGGACCCAGAGTCAGACACCCCGCCTCCGTACCTTCATGGATGGCAATGATGTGGGGGTGGTTGAGTGATGACATGATCTCAATTTCTCGCCGAATGTGCATCAGATCTTGCTCATCTTTGATTTTGTCTTTCCGGATTGACTTGATGGCCACCTGGGAACAGAGAATGCTGGAGAGTGAGGGGAAAGGTCTGGCAGGTAAAGGTGTCCTGGAGGACACTCTCGAAGCCCTGACTCTGGGTTGCCTGCAGCTGTTGCAGAGGCCAAGGATGCGCCCAGAGAAGCCACTCCCCCCTCACCAGGAAGGGTGGCAGAGTGGCCGAAGAGCACCTTCTCTGGAGAAGTTCTTACCTGGGTTAGGTGCAGTCCACGCAGCAGGAAGGAGGAAGGACCAATGGCCTTATTCAGAGGCCACAGATGAGCAAGGGAGGTAACGACCCTTTGGACGGCCAATGCTCTATGATTTACAAAGCAAATTTACCATACTACACCATGAGGATGAGGGTTTGCTCACCACTGGGTCCCTGCTGCCAAGCAAAGGGGCTGGCACAAGGCAGGCACTGGATAGCCATGTGCCGCTTCAGTATGTTGATTAGCCCTCATAGCAGCCCTGGGAGGTAGGCAGAGAAATATCATTCCTATTTACAGGTGCAGAAACTGGTACCCAGAGAGGTCACATGACCTGCTCAAAGTCATATTGCCATTAACTGGCACCGGCAAGGGTACACCTTGACCACATTATACTAAGTGACATAAGCCAGACACGCAAGGCCAAATGCTGTACAAGTCTACTTATATGAGGTGACTGGAGTAGGAAAATGCATGGGACGGAAAGTAGAAGTTACCAGGGGAGGGAGGAGGAGAGGTGGGGATGGCAGGGCGGACACTTATTGGTCCATGGGTGCCCGGAGCTTCTGTTGGAGAGATGAAACAGTTTGAGAAATGCACAGTGGTGACAGCTGCACAGCCGGGTGACTGTACTGAACGCGCTTAATGAACTGTAGCGTAAAAGGATGAATTTTATGTTACATATATTTTACCACAAAAAAAATGGTGGGGGAAAAAAATCAGTCCCTTCAGTCTAGGTGAGGAATGTCTCTCTCCTGGCAACAAAGGAAAACAACTAGACAGGTACATAGATTTCTCTGGGCTCTGCTAATCTTGGTTGTAAAGGTGAAAATACCATAAAAGGATTAACCCACCCAGCTGGTTTGCATGGCTCAGAAAGGGCGGAATGAAGCAAGAGGAAATGAAGAAACAGCTGCCAAGATGCCCTTTAACAAAGCTCTTGGAGATTCAGGGGTCTCCTCTGCTCCTTCCATTCAGGGTCCAGGTGACAGAAAGGAGAGAATCACAACAGTGCAGCGCGCGCGCGCGTGTGTGTGTGTGTGTGTGTGTGTGTGTGTGTGTGTATGAGTGTGGTGTGTACAGAAGACTCTCCTGCAGAGTCAGGAGACCTGGGATCTCCTCCAGGCTCTGTCACTGTGCCCACGGGCAAGTCCCACCCCCTCTCAGAGCCTCACTTTTGAGTGAGACAAACAGGATGAAGGATGTGTGAGGTGCTTTCCTGCCCTGATTCTCGCAGACGAGCCATGAAAATGCCAGGCCCTCAGAGGCCGTGTTGCTGGCACTGGGTGCTGGGCAGGGGGTGTGCCTCGGGGTTGGTCAATTCCTGTCAAGTCTTGCCCAGGGACACCAGTGGTAAATACAAGACTTCCTCTTCTTGGGAGACAGGCAAGTTATGAACAATCTGAAGGCCCAGACTGGGGTAAACAGCTCCTCACTCAATTTCCCAGGAGGGTTTGCCTCCTCTAGAGGTTCAAAAGGAGACAGAGAAAAGAAAAGCACTTCTGGAAGGGAGGGGCCTTATTCCCCTTTTCACAGAGCTTGGGAGGCAGACAATGGCTTCCTGCTCAGAGGGACAGTGGACAAGAATGCGGAACAGCCATAATCCCATAAGGAGTCACTCACAGTGCTCAGGGCCTGGTCACCCTGGCAACAGGCCAGAGACGGCGTTCCCTCCACCCCATTCCTCCCCAGGAGCTGCCTCCATGAAAGAGGGGAGGCCCAGCTCTCTGCCCTCCCTGAGCAGGGCAGGGAGGACAATGGCAGCGGGAGCGACTGTCGCCATGGAGCCTCTCCCAAGATGCTGCTGAGGCCCATGCTGCAGCAGCAAGTGCTTTCTTCAGGCTCCACCCCCTCTGCTCCAAACCACCCCTGGAGCTAAGCAGGAAAGTCACGGATTCAGAATCGGACAGGGGGCAGGGATGGGGACAAAGGGACTGGAATCCTCCTCCAACTCTGAGGCCAGAACCTGGAGCGTGGTTCCTGCGTGTGTCTCTCTCCCCATTCTCCTTTTCTCTCCCTGAAGGCAAGAGTTTATGGACTAGTCCTTTTCTCTCTAAAATGCTTCATTTTAATAATCAGACAACGGATAAATTACTATAAGCTCTTCAGATAAAGGGGCCATAAAAACTGTTAACAGAGAGTAAACCATCATATGTAAATTACAAATCTAGATAATAAAACAAAACTATCTGAGAGCTTAAGAGGCACACATATACAAAAATTAAGCCCATCTTGAACGAATAACTGTGTACTCACAAACATATACAACACTGAGAGATATCATCCTAGACTTAGGAGGTAGAGCTCTAAAAAAGACAAGACCCAGAAGAAATGAGTCCCCCCGAAAATAAAGGAGTCCCTGTATGGACAGATGGCACACAAGTCAAACCTCGAGATCTATTGCTTTCAAATCTGGAAGCCTAATCTTCAGTGAACAATTCCATTCTCCTGTGAGCTTCTGCTCTGGCCTCAGAGGCTCGGGGGAAGGACCTGCAGTTGGCCACATTAGGTCCAGGGAGCACGGTGGGGCTGGCACTTCCCGGGAAAGAAACAAGTTACGCCATCTGGCCTCCACCAGTTCCTAAGCAGGTGACAGGCAAGAAGAGTGATGTGTCACTGCCCTGGTGATACCCTATCCCAGCCCCAGGAGACAGGCTCCTAGCTACCTGCTGGCTGGCCTATCAAAGTAAACTAGGTACAGTGAGAGCTCAGGCCTGGACAGAGGTCAGCGCACAAGAGCACTCAACAATTGTTTACTGATGAACACAAGTCACAAAAGAAATATTTATTGGTTGTCAGTCAGTGGATTGGCCCCTGACCGACTGGGCCTGTGCCCAGATGAGACTTCTTGCTTTTCTTCCTACGCAACGTGGAGAGTCAGCCTCCGTTATAAGCATTACTTTTGAGGGACCTTTGTTCTCATCTGCAAGACAGTTGAGCAACCATTCTCTAGGAAAAACAATATACTGACTAGAGCCAAGGAGGAGGGTAGCAACTGCTGAGTGGGTCACCCAGAGGCCAAAAGGCCCTGTGCCTGGAGCCAGTCCCGGTCCGTCTGAGTGTCATTACTCATAGTGACCCTTTCTCTCCAAAGCACCCAAGTTTAGACAACGCATTGCACGCGGCCCCACCCAGTGGGAACAGGGAACCCAGACACGACGAACATCTCAGTGTGAATGTGGACACCAGGCGCTTGGAGTGGGTGTCAAGAGCCCAAGCATCTCATCCTCACTTGCCCCTACGGAACTATGCAACTCAAGACAAATCACTTAAATGATCTGGTTAATTGGTCTGGTTGGTTTTAATGTCCTCATCTGAAAAATGAAGGTCAGCAGTGGCTGGTGTAGCTCAGTGGATTAAGCGTGGGCCTGCGAACCATGTGATCCCGGTTCGATTCCCAGTCAGAGCACATGCCTGGGTTGCAGGCCAGTTCCCAGTGGGGGACACATGAGAGGCAACCACACACTGATGTTTCTCTCCCTCTCTTTCTCCTTCCCTTCCCCTCTCTCTGAAAATAAATAAATAAAATATTTTTTAAAAAAAAGAAAAATGAAGGTCATTTATTCTCCAAATATCTGTTGAACACCTACTATGTGCCTAGTGCTATGTTAGGTGCTGGGGATTTAGATGAAAATTGGGCAGTCCCTGCACCAAGGTCCTCAGTCCAGTGGGAGGATCAGCAATTGAGTCAGCTCAGGCCTGGGGTGATGAATGAGGACCGTTGAGGCCCCTGCCTGTCGGGGGCTCCAGCAGCACTGGGGAGAGCTTTCTTTGCCTGGAGGAGCAGGAAGGATCACCTCTGGGAGAAAACTTTGTTTTAGATCTTGAGGGATGAATGGGGTTTGCCCAGCCAAGCAGGGTAAACTAGGGAGGGGCAACAGGGGCATTCCAGGCAGAGATAAATGTTGGAGTAAAGTCCAGAAAGAAAGGAGCCGTTGAGAAATTTGCACATCAGGATCTCCAAGTGTCTTCAGAAATGGGTCACCTGCTACTATGCCAGGAAGGCGCTAGCCAAGGATTGTTATAATGAGCTTGTTCCGAGGCCCCATGCTATATCTATGTTAACCCGCCTGAGCCAAATTCCTACGGATACTGGCCCAGTGGTGTTCTCGCCCCTGCAGCCCTGCATGTTGGAAGGGCGGCAGGGCTAATTCCCTACCCCATTCTGCAAATGGCAAACACTCAAGTCTGGAAAGGTGCACTGGACTCTTCCAAGGTTCCCTGATACATCAAGACAGAGTCAGGATCCAAGGGGGAGAGGTGCGGCCTGGAGACGCTGCCATCTCAGAAGACAAAAAAGATCCTTGCAGATGTCCCGCCCTGCTTCCAGTGCCCTGCCTCTCCCTAGCCCCCCCCCCCCACCTCCAGAGAAGGGAGTGCCCCACACTCTGCTCTGGGCCATGCTGCACAGTCCAAAATGCCACCCGTATCCCACTCATACAACATGCTAGAGAGATGGGTACTGGGGCTCGATTGGTTAAACACTCCTATCCTCCACCCACCACCAACAGACCCCCCGGGTAGGGAGTGATCTGGATTCAGGAAAGGATGGCAGAAAGGCCTTAGAGAAACAAAACCTAAAGGTGCTGGTCCCAAGCCCTAGGAAAGAGGGTGTGAGCTGGGCATCCTGGTCACAGCTACTGCCAGGAGCTGGAGCCAAAGTCCTTGACTCCTCTCTGGCCTTTCAGGGAACAGCTGCCATCCAGGAGGCAGGGCAAGGAGGTGGAGGATGACCCATATAGATAACGGAGCAGAGGTCAGGCTGGGCTTGCCTCAGTGGGCAGAGTGGGGAATGATGAGCCTAAGGGTGGGGGCTCGTCATTCCACCAAGCCTGTCAGAGAACCAGGCAGGGAGAGGAATGGGCTCCAGGAGCGAGGGAGTCTGAGCTGCTTCCCCTAAACTCCATGCTGTACCCACCCTCCCCTTCACTCTGCCAGGTTGCTGGGCAAGGCAATTCCCTGCCCAGCTCTCTTGTGTGGTTTGGCTCGAGTCCAAGGACAAGAGTTGCCTGCAGCCAGAGCCTCCCTCCCTGCTGCCGAGCAGGCAGGTGCAGGAGGAGCAGGGAGGGCAGCGTCACACAGAAGAGACCTTGGGTGGCTGGCCAGGTGGGAGCCCTTCTCTGGAGCAGGGGCTGAAGGAGAGAGTAGGACTTTGAACAAAGCAGAGACCACAGTGGTCAGGCTTAAGGAAGCTAAGCACAACGCATTTTCTTGCTCAGACCAGAACAGACCCCAGACAGATGCCTCTATGAGAGCAGGGCCTAGTCAGGGCAGCCTTGCCAGGATGACACTATGTCAGCTACTGAGCTCAGCACTTTACACATATTGTCTGATTTAACCCTCTGAGAATAGCACAAGGTAGGAGTTATTATAATCCCCACCTTACAAATGAGCAACTGAGATACAGAGAGGTCACATGAGCAACAGGATTTAAATGCTTGCAGGCTGGCTCTGAGCTGGGCAGCCTTCCCGACAAGGTGAAAACCAGGAATGCAGTGTATATAGTTCACCCAGCCAGGGTCCTTCGACACAGGCAGTGCACGAGGAGTTGTGGGTTGGTTCTCAGTGTCTACTCTGGCCCTGTGCGTGGCTGAAGCTCTGAGAAGGTGGCTGGAGCTGACTGCTGGAATGACCAAGCACAACAAGACAAGCCTGAGCTCAGCTGAGGGCCATCTCCCAGACCAAGACTCAGTCTTGGACATGTGGGACTTGGGGTGGTCAAATCAGGGGCCCGTGTTGTAGATGTGCCCCTAACCAGACATGGGACAAGCCGCATCCCTTCTCTGGGCCTCACGTTCCCCACCTGTCAGTGAAGGAATAGGACCATCTCGGTAATGTTCAAATCCAAGCCGTCTCATATATAAGACAGGAGCACCCCTGCATAGGTCGATATCCACTTCCTGCCCCGTGCTCCTCATGGAACCCCTTGGGGACAAGACTTCTGTGCAGATCACCCCAAAGCCTTTGGTGGATTCTAACAGCAGGGGTTTTTCTCTTTGTGGGGAGGGGCAGTCAGGGAGCTGGGAGAGTCACAGGAGGAAATGTCATTTGGATACCAGGAATGTACTTGGAGACTAGAAGATCCAGAGCAAATATTTGTTTTTCCTTTGATGTCCTCCTTGAGTAGCCATTAGTCTTGCCCACCTGCCCCTCCCTCTGGACAATCCCATCTAGCCCCTGATGTTCTCAACTAGGCAGGCTGGGAATGGGAAATGTTCTGGAAAAGCAGAGAGAAAATGGGGATGGGAGTCACTCAGCAGGCCTTCCTCTGAATCTAGCCCCCACCAACAATCTCAGTTCAACTTAAGCAGGGTTCTTGGGTGGCTCCCACATCCCTCTCTCCCTCTGAAGTTCCTGAGGCACCAGGCTGATCTCCCTTCAGGGAGA